TTGCCCGGCCTGCTCGCCTCCTCCACCCCCTTAGCCAGCTGCCATTGGATGCTGGCGGGTGTCAGTCAAGCCCGTCCTGAGCTGGGGGTGCCTTCCTTTCCAGGATCCGGGACCGTTTCGGCTGGTGACGCTGGCCGTGTCTCTGTGGAGGCGTCTGGCTGTGCCGCTGGTCTTCTCCGCCTTTTGGCTCGTCCTGTTCGCACTGCAGATCTTCACCTTGGCTGCCTCCCCCTCTTCCTCCTCCTCCGGCCGCCTTTTATCCCAGCAGGGCTGGATCTTCGTCTTCCTTAGCAGGTAGGAGCTGCACCTGTGTGTGTGTGTGTGTGTGTGTGTGTGTGTGTAATCCTCGGATTTGGCGGCGTCTCCACCCCAAAGCATCTTGCAAATCCCCGTCGGTTCGCCTGCCCTCCAAAGCTTGCGAGAAGCATTGGAGACCCCTCCTCACTTCGGCCCCTTCGGTTCGGGCAAGGGGAGCCAAACTTGGCAAATGGACAATGCTAAGTGGAAAAAAAAAAAAAAAAAAGAATGACGGAGTCGGGAGGGACCTCGGAGGTCTTCTAGCCCAACCCCCTGCTCAGGCAGGAAACCCTATACCAGGGGTAGGCCACCTTGGCTCTTTTATGACTCTTGGACTTCAACTCCCAGAATTCCTGAGCCAGCATGGCTCAGCTTGGAAACCTCTCCCTTTCCCCTCAGTGTGGCTGGCTCAGGAATTCTGGGAGTTGAAGTCCACCAGTCGTAAAAGAGCCAAGGTTGCCTATCCCTGCCCTATACCATTTCAGACAAATGGCTGTCCAGTCTCTTCTTAAAAACTTCCAGTGTTGGAGCATTCACCGCTTCTGGAGGCAGGTGGTTCCACTGGTTAATTGTTCTCACTGTCAGGAAGTTTCTCCTTAGTTCTGGGTTGCTTCTCTCCTTGATTAGTTTCCATCCATTGCTTCTTGTCCTGCCTTCAGGCGCTTTGGAGGATAGCTTGACTCCCTCTTCTTTGGGGCAACCCCTGAGATACTGGAAGGCAGCTATCCTGTCCCCCCTCGTCCTTCTCTTCGTTAAACTGGACATCCCCAATTCCAGCAGCCTTTCCTTGTATGTTTTGGCCTCCAGTCCCCTAATCATCTTTGTTGCTCTTCTCTGTACTCTTTCCAGAGTCTCAACATCTTTTTTACATCGTGGTGACCAAAACTGGATGCAGGATTCCAAGTGTGGCCTTACCAAGGCCTTGTAAAGTGGTATTAATACTTCACCTGATCTTGATCCTGTCCCTTTAAGGTCCGGTCATCCTGTTGCTGATCCAATCACATTGAGTTATTTAGGAGCCAGATTGGTGGCTGATGACCGCATGATATAAACCAAGGGTAGGCAACCTTGGTTCTTTTATGACTGGTGGACTTCAACTCCCAGAATTCCTGAGCCAGCCATGCTGAGGGGAAAGGGAGAGGTTTCCAAGCTGAGCCATGCTGGCTCAGGAATTCTGGGAGTTGAAGTCCACGAGTCATAAAGCGGCCTAGGCCTAGGCCAGAGGTAGGCAAGCTTGGCTCTTTTATGACTCGTGGACTTCAACTCCCAGAATTCCTGAGTCAGCATGGCTCAGCTTGGAAACCTCTCCCTTTCCCCTCAGCATGGCTGGCTCGGGAATTCTGGGAGTTGAAGTCCACCAGTCATAAAAGAGCCAAGGTTACCTACACCTGGTCCAAAGGAACACAAGTGGTCCTCACCTTACAGCCACAACGAAGCCCAAAATGTCCGTTGCTAAGCCGACTTGTTTAATGAGTTGCGGCCCAATTTACAACTTTGTTTTGTTATCGTTCCTGAGTCATGGCAGTCATTAAGTGAATCTGGCTTCCCCCAATTGACTTTGCTTGTCAGGTCGTAAAAAGGGGATCACGTCTCACAAACACACACACACACCGGGGACGCTGCGACCGTCATAAATAGGAGCCGTTTGCCAAGACTCTGAATTTTGATCGCGTGACCTTTGGCGATGCTGCGACGGTCATTAAGTGTGAAAAATGGTCACTTTTTTTTAGTGCCGTTGTAACTTTGGTCACTAAATGAACGGTTATAAGTTGAGGACCGCCTGTATCTCTCTGGCTTATTCTGGGTTAGGAAAATACATAACTTTTTTTTTAAAAGAAGAAAAGAGGAATCTATTTGGGGGGGTCAGGTGGAAACTGACAATGTCTTTTTGGGTCCATCGGGGGGGGGGGGGTTCAAGGCCGAGACAAGGGAGCATTTCCTCATGGAATTGACTTAACGGAGCCGATGGAACTCATTGCCTCAAGATGAGCACTTCTGGCTTCCAAGCAAATGACTCTGGTCCATAATACCCCAGCCAGGATGCCAAAGGGGTCTTTTGTGTATCTGTGGTCAGGCTGGTCCCAAGGGCGCTTTCTTCCAAAAGGCAGCTGGACTCTTGACCCACCCTAACGTCCAGAGGACTGCGAGGAATATCGGTCCTTCCGTTCCCCGCCAGTCGGTCAGAACCGAAGAAGCTTCTTGGATGAGAAGCGAAACGTCTTCAAAGGAAAACGAGAAAGTCCGGCTGCCTTGGGGGGGAAAAAAATACCTTTGGGGTGGTCTTCTCTTGCAAAGGCAGGTCTTGCTCTGACTCCCCCTCCCCACTCCAAGGCCAGGAGTCGGGGAGGCTCGGTGGGGGTCCTTGGGAGGGGGGGGCTGCTGTCCGAAGTCGGAGGCAGCTCTGGGGGTCCATCTTGTCCTGTCTTCGGCCTTCCCAGCGTGGCCAAGTGCTGCAGCACCCCCTACTCGCTCGTCGGACTCACCTTTGCCGTCTCCTACCTGGCCCTGGGGCTGCTCCAGTTGGGCAAGCTGTACTTAAGCGGCTTTGGTGGCTTCCAGGAGGGCAGCTTCACGCACAGGTGAGAGCCCCTTCCTCTTTCTCTCCTCTCTCTCCTTCCCCCACTCTCCTTCTCTAGTCCCTCTCTCTCTCTCTCCCTCCCTCTCCCCATCTCTCTCTCTCCCCTTATCTCTTCCTCTCTCCCTCTTTCTCTCCTCTCTCTCCTTCCCCTACTCTCCTTCTCTAGTCCCTCTCTCCTCTCTCTCCCTCTCCCCATCTCTCTCTCTCTCTCCCCTTATCTCTTCCTCTCTCCCTCTTTCTCTCCTCCGTCTCTCTCCCCCTCCCTCTCTTTCTCTTCCCTCTCCCTCTTTCTCTCCTCTCTCTCCTTCCCCCACTCCCTCCCTCTCTCCCACCTCCATCTCTCTCTCTCTGTATCTCTCTCCCCTTATCTCTTCCTCTCTCTTTCTCTCTTCCCTCTCTCCGTTTCTCTCCTCCTCCCTGTCCTCTCTTTCTCTTTCCCCTCTCCATCTCTCTTTCTCTCCCTCTCCTCCCTCTCCCTTTCTTTCTCCCCCTCCCTCTCCCTTTCTCTCTGCCTCTCCCTCTCTCTTCTCCTCCTCCCTCTCCCCCTTTCTCCCTCCCTCCCTCTCCTCTCCCTCTCCTTCTCTTCCTCTCTCCCCCTCCTTCTCTCCCCTTCATCTCTCTCTCTCTGTATCTCTCTCCCCTTATCTCTTCCTCTCTCCCTTTCTCTCCCTCTTCCCTCCTCTCCTGCTCTCCCTCTTTCTGCCTCCTTCTCTCCCTCCCTCTTCTTCTCCCTCACTCTCTCTTCCTCCTTCTCTCCATTCTCTTCTCTCCCTCTCCTCTCTCCCTCCCTCCGTCTCTATCTCTCTTCCTCTCTCTGGAAGAGCACTGGGGCTGGAGGTGGGGGGGCTACAGGGTCTCCCCACATCCTCCTGCTGACTCGCCCACACTTTTCCCCCTGGTTGGCAGGAACTGCCATCCTTCCGGAATCCTTGGGGCAGGAGGGGGCAGACGTCCGGCAAAACGGTCCCCTCCCCCCCCCGATCATCTCCAGCAACTTGCCCCCCCCCCGTCTGTCTCTTTCTGCTCTCCCCACCCCCGCAGGGGCGTGACGGAAGGGGTGACGCTGCTGCTGCTGGCCATCCAGACGGGCCTCCTGGGCCTGCAGCTCCTCCAGAGAACCTACCTGCTCACCATCATCCTCTTCATCGTGGCCACCTCCACGTTGCAGTCCATGAGCGACATCGCCGAGCCCTTTCTCTTGGCGCTGGGGGCGTCCCAGAGCAGGTGAGGGGGGGCTTTTCCCTCCGCTGGGGAGGAGGGGCCGTTATCTACGAGTGGTCCTCAACTTACGACCGTTTGGAATTACAACCCGAAGGCAGTACGACTGTTCTTTTAGTGACCCCGTTCGAAATTACGACGGCACCGGAGGAAAAAAGGGACTCGGGACCACTTTTTCACCCTTAACGACCGTTGAGGCATCCCCCATCCCCACCCCCCGGTCAGGTGTTCAAAATTGGAACGCTTGGCGATTCACACTTACGACGGTCGGTCGCGGTGTCCCGGAGTCAAGTGATTTCCCCCTTTTGTGACTTTCTGCCGAGTCAATGGGGGAAGCGAGAGTCGCTGAACGACTGGGCCAGGGAAGGTTGTAACGGCTGTCTCGCTTAGCGACATAAAGTTTGGGCTCAGTTGCGGCCGTAAGTTGAGGATTGCTTGTATCTGCTGGGACCCCCGCCCCTTCACTCCTTGAGGGCCATCTAGCCCCAGCGTGGTCCCTCCTGGGGTGCAGAGTTCACAAGGGACCCAAGTTTGGGGGGGGGGCTCTTCATCCATGGGTCTATCCACGCCCCCCCCCCTTGTTTTTTCCCTTCTTGCAGGAATTTCTGGAAACACGTCCGTGGGGTGAGCCTCTGCCTGTTTCTCTTGGGGGCTCCCGTCTTCATGGCCTACAAGATCGCCCACTTCTTCCAGCTGGACTTCTGGCTACTGATCCTCATCTCCAGCTGCCTGTTGACCTCCCTGCAGGTACAGCTCAGCATTCCCCA